CACAGCCACATGTGCGTGTCTACAGGGATGTGGAACAAGAAGCTCTTCTATTATCTTGTTATAAACCAAGTAAGCCTTTCCAGTATGGATTCCTGAAAGGCAAATGATAATCACAAGCCAACAGCACCCCATACTTCCCTCACCCTGAACTCCCACAGCCCCGGTGGGAGGTAAGGACAGAGACGCTGACCCAGTCGCCTGGGACAGTGGGCGCAGAGGTGCCTTGCCCTTGAAGGGTTTCCACTCCATTTTGTCCTGTTGCCTCCTCCCCATCCCTTCCCCCAAACACTGAAAGACAGCAAGAAAGCAGGCAGCAGAGAGACTCCGGATCCGGCTCTCGCCTGCCTCCCTGGGCTCTCACCTGGACAGCGCCAGAGGTTGAGCTCCTGCCCAGCAAGCGTTTCCCCTTCTCCCTTCTAAAATCCTTCTTCCAAAAATACAACGCCAGGTAGCTCTGGCTTTGCCATTTCCTTCCCAATTTGACTGCATTCAAATTCTTCTGTCCTAGAGTTTGGGCCCCCGAGGGATGCAAACACCCCCCAGCCTCAGGTCCCTGCTTCTAGGGTCCACTGAATCCTGCTCCCTATGCAGGCACCCTGCCTTGTCCTGGGCAAACGCTCCCAGGCCTCCTTGCACACGTCAGGGCAGCCCCCCTCCTCAGTCTCAATGTCTTCTTCACTCCCCATCTGTTCTGCAAATCCCTAGGCCATTCTACTTTTTTAAATGTATTTGAAGAATTTCTCATTTTTTATCTTCAGTGGCCCTTCACTGCATACCTTGACTATCTTCTACATTGTCACCTCCTCACTAAGTTGTGATTCCTGTCTACCTGGAAGTTAGAGTGCTATTACATATACATTTGCTACTGCAACTAGGACTCTTTTGCTTTGTTCTTTGAGTTTCTTAGGTATTATCTATCTATCTATCTGCTAACTAGAATCAAAGTCAGGACCTCATGCCTGACAGGCAGGTACTATGCTGTTGAGCTACATCCCCAGCTCCTTAAGTATTTTAAATAAAACATTCTATCTTAAATTAAACATTTAAATATTTTAGAAAAAAAAGCATCATGACTAGGTTGGCCTATTTACTTTCAAGCAATCAACCATGTAAAGATAGTTAACTTTCCATGAACA